CTAAGGATGAGATAATCGTAATAAAAATAGATGTGGAATATATTGTAAAAGCCTTTTTATATATATTTTTAAACAAGCCAGTAATCTTAAAAGTTCAAAATATTTTATTAAATTTAAGGTACTTTGGTCTTATAGTCATAGTTACGAGATGCTTGTTGAGGAAATGTTAGAAAATTACCGATAAATTTCAAATTTATTATAGTTATCGCTCTTATTTTCTGATTATATCGTGTATGGACGTGCGCATTTACAAAAATCAGCACATTTACACACACACACAGATATATATATATATATATATATATATATACAAATGAGAGAAAGAACAGATGAAGTAAAATTCCGCCGTTCGTAGCATTTACTTTTAAAAAAGTGCTCAATACAAAGTAGAGCAATATATTATTATTATTATTTTATAATAAGATATTAGAACAAAAACATGTTAAAATCGCTACACTCGCTATCGTGTTTCGGCACTACATTGTGTCTCTTCAGGGGATAGTAAGTGACTGGTGATTAAATAATTTTTTCTTTAAAATTATTTAATCCCCATTTCACTTAACGTAGCGATTAGTGTAAGCGATTTCAACCTTTTTTTATTCTAATATCTTATAATATAATAATAATAATAATAATAATAATAATAATAATAATATATATATATATATATGCAGAGTGAGATGTATGTTATAGTGACATAAATATTTTTTGATCCTAAAGCAGAATAGCCCAAATTTTCTGGAAGAAAATGTTGGCTCTATGCAATTTAGATAAAAATAGTCATTTGACACATTAGTTTAATCACAGTTTCATGATGTTTTTCTTTTCAATATGAATTCTTCCTTTGTATGATTTCTAATTTAAATGATACCAAACCAATTCAATGTTAATGTGCTTGTCAAAAACAAAGCGCCATTATGGCTGAATTTTCTTTTGGCCTCTTGTTAAAAAGATCAGTTAGTGCTTTTTGCTTCATACTCTTTGTGTTAGACTGTCAGCGTCAATATGTCCTGCGCCAAAATATGGCCAGCGTTTTATCTGAGATGTCACTAAAAGCATATAAAACAATCTTAACAGTAATAAACTTTGAATAATTGCAGTGGTACATGTCGGTTGATTAAATTTCAAATGTAAATTGTTTGATCGTTTAAAATACTACATTTATCAGAAAATACAGGAGTCATACAAATGACTTCAATGAGCCTACTCATACACTTTTCCTGTCAGCCAGAGATTGTTACCAGATGGAAAGGGGAAATAGTCCTCGCAATAATGATGTTAAGGCTCAAAGCAACGGTTTCGTATCGTGTGTTCGATCTTCGTTTGGTATTCCATTACTGAAACAATATGTAATGAGTGAATTTTCTGCGACACACAACCACACACACACACACACACACACACACACACACACACACACATATATATATATATATATATATATATATATATATATATATTCCTACATACTAAGTCTCAAAATATCTCTTCATCGCGTACAAGAAAAATACAGTAAAACTTAACAGAAGTAACTTATCAAACATTTCAAATGAAAGCGGAATGAAAGCTGTATTAGAGAGGGATTGCTAGCCAAATATACAATTACACACACACACACACACACACACACACACACACACACACACACATACATATATATATATATATATATATATATATATATATATATATATATTAAAATTTGTGTATTTAGGCAGCAAATTCTCTTTCAGGCATGTCTGATTGAATAAATTACAAAATCCTTTCATACTCACGAATATTCTTCCGTGTATTGATGTTAAAGGATGAGAGAAATGTGCTATAGCTGTTTAAATTTCTTTTATTTTCATTTCAAAAGTACTTTCTTTTTCCATGGTCATCTTCAGGGGTACAACTAATACAAAACTATATGTTGTTCATTAATATAAGTATTTATACAAAGTTTGCGTTGTTATCCACTACCGTAATTTTTTCATTATGCTTTTAAATACAAAACGGTTGGCGATGTGATGAGCGTACATTAGAACATGAAAAATTATCCATTATGGAATTTTTTTTCTCTCTCGGTTATAATGTCAAGGTCACACGCGCATTAAATCGTGAAAAAAACTGTTCCTTTACAGGCATTTCAGGACATCACTGCAGTATTCATATGCGTGTGTGATTTTTTTTTTTTTTTACTAATGTTCACCAAATGCAAAAATCCAAGGGCCACTCAAAGTAGAGGTTTATTTTTTGGAGTTTTATAAGCGTAAGAAAGGGAAAGATAACAGGAAAGATTGAAAGCTAATTCTAAACTTGAAAAGGTCAAGATTTAATTAGCGAATAAAATTTCAGGCAAGAGACCTTAGTAGACTTTAGAAGGAACCGGAAACGCAATCCTAAGCAGGAAACAAAGGATGAACCTCTCCTCCTGTTCAAAAGAGTGGGGAGGAGTAGGAACCGGGCGATAAGCAAACCTATCTATTCCTATTGCGAGCCCGCGCGCGCGCGTGTGTGTGTGTGTGGTAAATTTAACTTTCTTGATTATATCTACATGTGATTGTCTGCCTGGCGAAGGACGGAGGCGGCTACTAAACGTTGTTATGTTTGCTTACAAAGTCAAAAGAAAGAATTGACCGCGATACTTATATGTAATAATTTAAGCTTAATACATTACAAAGCGAAATGCTTATGAAAAGGTTTTGCATCACATTTTTAACTGAAGGCCCCACTTTGTTAACCAGTATCCCAAATCCTGAATCTTTAGCTTGTTTCGATCATCGACCCCTAACATTGGTGGAAAATGAGTAAATATTTCAACTACGATGCAAGACTCAACGGCGACTGATGATAGATTAGACTCACTATAAATTGAGCTATTTTTTTTTTTTTTCTGCCAAACACGTTTTTTTTTTAGACCTTCAGTGTTTTGATATATATTTAACCCCTTACATCAATAGTTCCCAAAGTTTTTTTGTTTTTTTTTTCTCTCGGCCGCATTTTCGGAATTAAAATTCGCCCGCTCTTCACCAAATTTTATCTGATAAAAAGTACATTTAAAAAAAAACAAAAACAAAAAAACAGTGAGAGGGTAAAAGGGAGATAACCGCGGATTCGAAGTCAGAACATTATCATTGATAACTCTCTTTTCTAATTTGAGGGGCCTAGTTACTATATTCTTAATACTTGATATAATGCTAAAATATCACAGTGATAAAATCGGTCTATAATTATTTATAACTATTTATTCTTAGACTCATGCACTGAATTACAAGTAATCCATAATAATATTTTAAATTTTGAAATCATATTTATTTTTGGCATAAGAATTTTTTGAAACTGTTTCTAAATTCTTGACAGTGTTTTGCACCGAAGGCCGAAGAAATAAACAATTTTAATTCGCGTGATCTGTTTACAACAGAAACGAATCTGAGACGGAAAACTCCAGTACATTGTTATAGATTTGTAGAGTAAAAGGGAGATAATCGCGGATTCAAAGTCAGAACATTATCATTGATAACTCTCTCCTCCAATTTGCGTACCCTGATTACTATATTCTTAATACTTGATATAATGTAAAATATCACAATGATAAAATCAGTCTATAATTATTTACAACTATTTAGACTGGGACTCATGCGCGCATTTACAAGTAATCCATAATAATATTTTAAATTTTGAAATCATATTTATTTTCGGTATATGATTTATTGGAAACTTTCTAAATCTTTGATTGCCTTTCAATCATACGGCTCACCTGCTATTCTCTTCCACCATGAGACGTTCCGCACCGTTTAGGAATCACTGCCTTACATAATAATTTGTCAGATATACTAACAGAAATTACTATACAAAACAACTTTTTCTTTATATTGGTAAATTGAATTTATTAAAAGAATGACGTTAATATATACTGGCTTTCTTTCTCCATAGTGACATCTGACTACAGAATGGATATGTGTCATCAGTCGTGTACAACATACCAAACGGTGCATATATACTCCTTCTCACTCTTTCTCTCTAGTACAGGACAAAGTTGAATATAGCTTCCTTTTCGTTGCTTCTGAATGACGTGTCTTTGTCTTTTGGGCAGAACATGTGAGAAATAAGGAATTTTTTAAAAGGGAGAATTGATAAAATTGTTATGTTAAATTGGTAAAATCAACCGTTTCCATATAGGAGAAATTCGGTATTTATGGAACTATAGAGAAACCGTTTTCAGAAATCAGAAAGAATTGAAATTCGCGGGAAAACATAAGAATGAAGTAAAGCTGGAAGAACTTAACACTCATAGTGCACTTCGACGGCAACGGAAGCAGGGGAAAGCAGCGGGTAAACATTTTGACAATTTTGAGCAAAATGGAAACATATTAAGCGGTAAATAAATATTTATATCCAGCATACAGACAGTTGTTTGATTGTTTTTAAACAATTTTCCCCCATCCCGAATTAAGGCAATAAAGCCATTAAGACGCAAGTGGTTAGTGTGTGAAAGAATATGAAATAAAGAAAACATTATCAAAGAGAGAGAACAATAAAAGAACAGAAATTAAGAAGACAGCAGATAGTGACTGAAATGGTATCTAAATTTGTTTTTTAATAATTCCCCCCCCCCAAGCTCATTTAAGGCAATAAATCCATTAAGATGGTGTGAAAGACTATGAAATAGAAAAAGCATTATCAAGGAGAGAGAACAATAAAAGAACAGAAATTAAAAAGAAAGATAATGATTGAAATTGCATTTAAATTTTTTAAGATCAAAGTTGATTGGAAGGCAAGAAAATGGCATCGAATTCCGCAAGCGAGAAGTGCGAGAAAAGAAACTGTTAGCATAGAATTTATAGTTGCATCTAGCTATTTCAACTATAAAATGAAGATACCTTGCCGAGAAATCTAGTATGACGCTTTGTAAAAGAATTATATCACCTCAATGCAAGACAATAAAGCCACTAAGATACAAGAAGTTACTGAGAGTGAAAGAATAAGAAAAAAAGAGAAATATTATTAAGCAGCGAGAA